GCTGAGCCATTTTATCAGAAATGGGTGCTGGATTTTGTCAAATGCTTTTGCAGCGTCTATTGATATGATCATAGGATTTTTATCTTTCATTTTGTTTATGTAGTGTATCACACTTATTGTTTTGTGAATATTGTACCAGCCTTGCATCTCTGGGATGAATCCCACATGTTTGTGGTGAATACATTTTTTAATATACTGCTGGATCCAATTTGCTAATATTTTTTTGAGGATTTTGGCATCTATGTTCATCAGGGATATTGGCCTGTAGTTTTCTTTCTTTGTAGTGTCTTTATCTGGTTTTGGAATTAGGATTGTGTTGGCCTCATAAAAAGAGCTTGGAAGTCTTCCTTCTTTGATTTTTTAGAATAGCTTGAGAAGAATAAGTGTTAGTTCTTCTTTGTCTGTTTGGTAAAACTCCCCTGTGAAGCTGTCCAGACCGGGGCTTTTGTTTGCTGGGAGTTTCTTAATTACAGCTTCAATTTCCTTAGTTGTCATTGGTCTGTTCAAATGTTCTGACTCTTCCTGGTTCAGTTTTGGAAAATTGTGTGATTCTAGGAATTTGTCCATTTCGTCTAGGTTCTCCAATTTGTTGGCATATAATTGTTCATAGTATTTTCTAACAGTCTGTGTTGTCAGTTTTTACTTCTCCTTTTCTGTTTCTGATTTTTTGGGGTTTATTTGGGTCCTCTGTCTTTTTCTTGGTGAGTCTGGCTAAAGGTCCATCAGTCTTGTTTTATCTTTTCAAAGAAACAGTTCTTGATTTCATTGATCTTTTGAATTGTTTTTTAGTCTTTATGTCATTTATTTTTTTTAACTTTTTTTTTTTTTGTATGTGCCCCTAGCAGGAACTGAACCCAGGACTCTCTGGTCCGCAGGCTGACACTCCAACCACTGAGCCAAACTGGCCAGGGCATGTCATTTATTTTGCGTTGTGTGTTCTTTTTCATTGATTTCCAGGAATTTTTTTATTTCTTCCTAGATCTCCTTGGTAACCCATTTATTGTTTAATAACATATTATTTAGCCTCCATGTGTTTGAATGTGTTTGAGTGTTTTTATTGTATATAATTTCTAGGTTCATGATTTTAGTCTTCTTGAAGTTGTAGGGACTTAGTTTGTGTCCTGACATGTGGTATATCTTTGAGAATGTCCCATGTGCTTTTGAGAGGAATATATATTCTGTAGTTTGGGGGTGTAATTCTCTGTAAATATCTATTAAATTCGTCTTATGTAGTGCATTGTTTAGGGTCTCTGTTTCCTTGTTATTTTTTTGTTTAGAGGGCCTATCCAGTGATGTCAGTGGGATGTTGAAGTTTCCTGTTAAGATTGTGTTGCTGTGGATTTCTCCCTTGAAGTCCTCCAGAAGTTTCTTAATATATGTTGGTGTTCCCATGTTGGGTGCATATATGTTTACCAAGGTTATATCTTCTTGTTGGATCAATCCTTTTAATATGTAGTGGCCTTCTTTGTATCTTGTTATGGCCTTAATTTTGAAATCTATTTTATCAGATATGAGTATTGCTACCCCAGCTTTTTGTTTTAATTTGCATTTGCTTGGAAAAATTTTTTCCATCCCTTTACTTTTATCTTCTGTGAGTCTTTTGTTGTGAGATGGGTCTCTTGTAGACAACATATATGTGGGTCATGCTTTCTTATCCATTCAGTTACTCTGTGTCTGTTGATCAGAGCATTTAATCCATTTACATTTAATGATATTGATATGTATTTATTTATTGCCATTTTTGTTTAGTGTGGTTATATTTTTCTTCCTATTTCTTCTACTAATTACAGCAGTCCTTTTAGCATTACTTGCAGTGCTGGTTTGGTATTAATATATTACCTTAGCCTTTTTTGGTCTGGGAAACTCTTTATTTCACCTTCTATTTTGAATGAAAGCCTGGCTGGATAGAGTAGGCTTGGATTCAGATCCTCATGTTTCATTACATTGAATAATTCACACCATTTCCTTCTGGCCTGTAGTCTTTCTATTGAGAAAGCATCTGACAGCCTTATGAGAGCTCCTTTGTAGGTAATCTGTTGCTTTTCTCTTGCTGCCCTTAAGCTTCTCTATTTGTCTTTAATTTCTGGCATTTTAATTATGATGTGTCTTGGTATAGACCTCTTTAGGATCTTCTTGCTTAGGGCTTTTTGTGCTTCCTGAGCTTGTATCCCTTTTTCCTTCACCAAGTTAGGGCAGTTTTCTGCCCCTATTTCTAAATTTTTTTTTTTTTTTTAATCCTCACCCGAGGATATTTTTCCATTTTTTGTACAGATAGAGTGGGAGGGAGAGAGAGAAAGGGAGAGACAGATAGAAACATCGACGTGAAGGGACACATCTAGTGGCCGCCACCCGCACGACCAACCAGGGCCAGGGACAAACTGCAACCGAAGTACGTGCCCTTAGCGGGAACCGAACCCGGGTCTCTCCAGACCGCAGGCCGACGCTCTAACCGCTGAGCCAAACTGGCCAGGGCTGCCCCTATTTCTTAAAATGGTTTCTCTAACCCTTAGTCAGTTTTGTCTTCTGGTACTCCTTTGATGCAGATGTTGTTACATTTCCTTTTGTCCCACAGCTTTTTAAAACTGTCTTGCTTTTTCATTGTTTTTTCTTTTTGTTTTTTTTGATTGAGTGGCATTTTTCTACTTTGTCTTCAGCCTCCTCTAATCTGCTGGTTTTTCCTTCAGATGTGTTCTTTATTTCTGCTATGTCGTTCTGAAACCAAGCAGCAGTGTTCAGGTGTGGATTTGTTGTCAAAAAATCGAAGAATGGGTTTATGGACAAAGGGGTAAGCTAAAGGAAAGTTTATTTGAAAGATCGGTAGACTCCCTGCAATGGGGAGGGGACCCAAAAGGGTTGCCAGTTAGCCTCCATTGTCTAGGGGTCGATATATACTTTGCTAGCCTCTGATTGGTCCTTTCAAATAATTTTGCCTTAGCAGCTTGCATACTTTTTAAAGCTTGTGTTTTCTGCCTGATTGGGTTCAGCCCTAGGTCATCTATAGGATTCCTCGTAGCTTCCCTTTTTTGATAATTTCAAATGCTCCCACACTATTAGTGAAGAGGAGGGGAAACACCCTTGGAGCAACCCTATGCTTGCTTTTGGTTTTTCCCCCAAATCCAACCTTGGTTTCCTGTAGGTAACCTGGCTTTCTGTAATAGAAACACACTCTACAGTTTTATAGCAGAACTCATTCATCAATCCTGTAAATCCTGCCTTGCCTGTAAATAGCCTTTCTGGTTTTTTGTTATGTAATTGACCTGTGTTTCTTCCATGAGCTTCTAATTTGCATTTCTATAAATGGGAGCTAGGGTTTTCTGACCTTGGAAGCATAGTATCCCTTGTCGATTTAGTTTTATTTTGAGATCTGTAGAATCCAAATAAGCCTTCAGATATACTTTGTACTGGGTTGCCTGCCTGTGTGCTGAGCTCCAAGCCATCTGAAACGTCCCCTCTGTCTTAGCCTTCCCTTTATGGTCCCATCCTCACTGCCTCACCTGCCTCTATTTTGTCAGTTCTTGATTTCTGATTGGTTGTTTTTCATTGTTTCTACTTTTCTCATGCTGTTGAGCATCCTCATAATTATTACTCTGAAAGAGTTCAGATAACTTGCTTGTCTCCATTTCATTTAGCCCTTCTCCTGGAGAAGTCTCTTGTTCTTTCATTTGGGATTTGTTTCTTTGTTTCACCAGTTTGGCTGTCTCAGCCGGGTTTGGGAGCCGCCAAAATCTCCCCGTGAGTATTGATGTTCCGCAGATTGTGGCTCCCTCTGTTGGGTTTGGATGTGTATGGAAGGAACCAAGCTGAACACCAATGTCTGGTCTTAACTCTCCCAGGTAGAGTCGCAGGCGAGGCAACGATTCAGCTAACCAGAACCTCTGCCTGCAGGTTGACTGTTAGTCTCAGTCACTTCATGAGCCTCAGGTTGTAGCCCTCAGCTGGATGAAAACTCCCCCAAGTGGGCAGTTTCCAATGGGTTAATCAGTTGCTTACCCCTGGGCTAAAGCAGCTTTGTGAGGAAAACTCTGCCTGAAGAAAATGGTTTCTGCAGTGTGGGTTAATGACTCAGCGCAGGAGCCCAGGTAGCCGTCACCGCTCTGACCCCAGAGCCCAGAACTCAGTCACTGCAAGCCAGGCCCAAGGCTCAGAGCGCCCAGAGACTCATCCTGCCTGCAGGCTGATTGGTAGTCTGACAGTTAGTGCGCCTCAAGTGCAGGTCTGGGCCAGGTGCCGGCTCCTCCAGGGAGGCAGCTGCTTCCTTCCCAGGCTACAGCGGCTTTGATAGAACCCTGCCTGAGAAGAATGGTTTCTGCAGCACAGGTTCATGGCTCAGCACAGGGGACCAGGCTGGCTGGTCCCCTGTGCTGAGCCACAAAACTCAAGGACCGCAAGGCGCCCCAATGCTCAGCGCCCAGAGACTCATCTCTGCCTGCGGGCTGGCGGGTAGCCTCTGACAGTTTATCTTTTTTTTTCCCCCTTAGCTTTGTAATGATAAATACCTAACAACAATAAGTACATGATTCTTGATGTTTTTTAAAGAGTATCTTTCTATTCATTATGTGTTGTAATTAATATGGATACTCCATATCTCACCTGTATGTGTAACATCTTGAGAGATAATATGATGTAATAGCTAAATGAACAGGCTCTGGAATATGCATCCTGGCTTTCACTTGTTACTGAACAAGTTATGTACATACTCCTTAATTTCCCGATCTATAAAATAGGAGTTTTAGAATTAAGAAATGGGTTACAAGAATTAAGCAGTGGAATACATAAACAGTGCTTTAAATAATACTAGGGTTTTGAGATATAAGCATTATGAGAATTAAGAAATGGAATACATAAAAATGCTTTAAGTAATACAGTCGTCCCTCGTTTATCGTGGTTCATCCGTTCCAGACTCTAGTGGTTGCACCTGGTGTTGAAGGATCCCTGGGGTGCTCGAATACATAGGCCTCCAGTCCATATGTACAGTGATTTTAATTTTAATTGTCATACAGGGGTGTATAATTGATTCAGACAACCGAGCGCATGCAGTATCAGTTTCACTGCCTCAATCAACTTTTTAATGAATATATTTGAAAAAACTGCGATAGAGTGAAGCCGCGAAGGTTGAAGTGTGAAGTGGCGGGGACGACTGTGTTAACTGTACTTTTAGGGAAAAGCAAAAAGGTAATTGTAGGCTTAGTCGGTCTAAGCCTAATTGTATTTTATCAATAACTATGTTTTAAGAAAAGGTTTAATTGTTTTTACAAAGGTAAAATAATATTTACTATAAGCTTCTAGCCCCTGAATTCAACACCTTAAAATTATATGAGCTTGTAGAGTCACCGAAATTTTAAAAATTAAAGAGCTAAAGAGTTGAGAGTGACAAAGAGACAGTAGAATTTGGTTAAAGTCAGCGGATTTGGCCACCAGACTTCATGTATATGCATCTCAGCTCAAGCATTTATTTTCTCAATGGCCCTGGGAAAGTTACTTGAATTTTCTGTACCCAGCTTCTTCTGTAAAATAAGAATAATGTTAGTACCTAATACCTGAGATTTCTTCAAAGGGATGAATGAGTTAATATTTATAATACCTAGTATGTAAAAATATTAATATTTCTATTATTATCAGTGTTTAGCTATTAATTATTTTTCCAAGAAAAATCAAATGTTACTTTTTTTCATGTTAGGTTAGGGTAGTTTTGACTCATCTTTGGCTCCCATTACAGTAATAATAATAGCTCCAATTAGTTAACTACTTTCTATGTTTGAAATTATGCCCCTAAACCATGTTTCTTAGTCTCTGATTCTTACAACAATATATAATGTGGATATGCTATCACCAATTTATCGATGTGAATTTGAATCTAAACTTCAAACTCGAATTTCAGTTTTACAATCATATTGCTGTTGATTTCATATTTTATATTAGATGTCAGAAATTACAGCAACATATTCATAAATACCTACTCACTACGTTCAACAAATAGAATGAATTGAAACCAAAATTTTAAAAACACTTAAGACTGGCCTTAGATGGACTGGAGAACATTTTGTCCTCCTTCCAGACACTGGTTTGCTGTCCAGTGGAACCTCGACATGAGGACTGGGTCTGGCCGGGGGGGTCCATTCAAGCCAAACGTCTGTTTATTTATATAATAAAGTAGGCTTTCCGAATGTGTATGTGAAAAAATTGACCAATTCGCTAGTTTACCTGTTTTTATTTATGTAGACATGTTTGTGTAATTAAAATTAAGTATGTGTGAACAATTTAATGTCACAGAAAAGGTTTGTATGTGTATTACAGTAATTTTAAATTTATACGGAACAGGCCTAGTAGTACATGGGCGCATTCACCCGTCACCGCAAGTAAACAGATGCACACGGCTGGTGCATGGCGGGGCGCACAAGGAGCATCAGCCTACAAGTGTTAAAACTGCTAGGGAAAGTCACTCATGCAAAACAGAACTAATTACCGGGTACAGTGCGGTGTGATCACCTGCTAATTAGTCCCCATTGTTTTCAAGTGTTGACTCTTGGATTTAAATATGTAGACTATAGTTGTATATAGGTAATATTTATTTATGTCGTTGAAATTACTAGTGTTTTCTCCACTAATGGCCTGTTCGCTAAAACTTGTTAAAAATAACTGAATTAATAACAAAAAATAATCTCTTAATTTATTTATAAGCAAATCTTGGTTAAAAGCATTTTTAAATTAACAGGGTGTTCATTTTCACATATGACATGGACCAGCAGTTTTGCCCATTAAATCCAAAGTCTGTAAATCGAGGTCTACAAAATATAGGTTTACTGTAATAACAATTACGTACAGATAATGCATAAATTAATACAGTATTAAAAAGTATGTATTAAAGAGTTTTTAAAGTTAAGGGTTGAGATCTTACAAAGTTTTTATTTCTGTCTGATATTAAAGATTGGATAAAGAAGATTCTTGGGTAACGTGTGAGTTCTTCTTGACTGCATTGTGCTGTCTCGGGTCCTGGATTGAACTGGGGCTCTGTGTATTGCAGGTGCCACAGATCAGTCCGTCAGCTCTCACCAGCCTTTGCTGGGTAGCAATATCTTTTACAACTCTTAGACTCTTCTTTGATGTTTATGTTTCCTGGTGTTGCTTGCTTAGTGTACTTCCCCTGCTACACTATCCCCCTTAACAGTCTACCCTATATGGCTTCAATTTCAACTACTGGGATCATTGTTGAACTTAGATTCATGTTTGCATGTAGTCTGCTGTTTATGTCTGGTAGCTGAGAGGAGCCACAGGCAATTAGACTTAAGACCCAAGCTGAATGCCTTATTCCTTACATACACCCTATCCCTGTCGAACCAAATCCGCTGGCTCTCTCAAGTCCCTGTTTCCATGTGTCTGACAAGGAGTGACCTCCACCCAAGAAGATACATCAAGACTGAAGAATGAATTGGGCGACTCAATTCCAAGAGAATTTATTGTGGGTAATTTACTTACAGGAAGATTCGGTTGGAGGGGACAGACTCGGCACAGATGGCTCTCCGTGCTACACAGCTTTATACTGGAGCCTAACTGCTGATGGCTGGCAAGGCGACGGGGCAGGAGCCACACCTCCTGGTGGTCTTACAGTGGATAACTGCTTACAGTGGACACTAGCACCTAGTTTTTTGTTTGTTTGTTTTTATTTAGAGAGAGGGGAAGGGAGAGAGAGATAAAACACTGATCTGAAAGAGAAACATCGATCGGCTACCTCCTGCACACCCCCTACTGGGGATCAAGCCCGCAACCTGGGCATGTGCCCTCACCTTGAATCAAACCAGGACCTCTCAGTCCACTGAGCACACCAGCCGTGTACCAGCACCTGGCTCTGATATCGCGGTTGCTATGCCATCCTGACCTTTACTGACAGGAGTCTTTATGGCTACATTGTGTAAGCCCATAGGACAAAGCTAATGATTAACTATGAGGCTTTGGTGCTGGCTGAGACTAGCTAGGTCGGGTTCAGAATGTGAACTAGAAAGACGACAGCACATGGAGATGGAGTCAGCTTTGTTTACATCTGTACCTATTGGGCATTGAAACAACCCTGCCATCCACTCAGGCAGCTAAACTTCATGGGCATTTTAGATGTTTCTCTCCTTCACATCCCAATATCTAATCAGTTATCAAATCTTACTGGGATTTTGCCTGCTAAATTTCTCATGAATATGTCTATTCTCTCATCTGACCATTTTTGATTAAGTGGATTTGATAATGAGGAAGTAAGTAAAAGCCAGGTTGCTGTGTGGATCATGACATAAGCTAGAATGTATCATGAAGAACTGCTACTTAGATGAATGTCAGTGTTGCCAGCGGAAATGGGGTCCTTTCACAGGGCCGCAGGAGAGCGCTCTGGAGACCCATACAGGGAGGGTCAGTGGTAAGCGTTACCGGGGTACAGTAAACACAAGGAACTGTCCCAGGTGTAGCTCCATCCAGCTGTGAAAACAGTTCAGTGTTCTCTTTATCAGGCTCCGAAATGGCCAGTGGCCAGACATTTTGTATGAGCAAACCGGGCAAGGCCTTGTTACCGGGCGAGAGAGAGAACTCGCTTTGTCTCTGTTAGGCTGGTTATATTATCTCAGGCTTGGGAAGGCCCCAGTCCATTTCCTAGGTCTTCCAGGATGCTGTGTCCCTTATCCAGTCTGATCCTTTCCCAGGCTAGACAGGCCTTTATGGTCATTATCTGGGCTTCTACTGCACATGAGGTTACCTCCCCCTTGATCCTTCTGTTCCTTCCCCCAGTGATCTGTGGAGGGTGGGCCGTGGTTCCCTGGGGAGTGGGTGAGGCCATAACTTCCTAGTGAAGCAAAAAGGCTTATTGTCCAATTAAAGTCTAGTTTATTGTGCTCCCTTTGCTGCCTTCCTTTACTAATATCCAGCTACCACCCAGGCTAGTGTGCTCCGTGCTTAGAGCGTCGGCCCTCGTACTAAGAGGTCTTGGGTTCAATTCCTAGTCAAGGGCATGTACCTGGGTTGCAGGTTCCATCTTGGCCCTGGTCAGGGTCATGCAAGAGGCAACCAATAGATGTCTCTCTCACATTAGTGCCCCCCCCCCTTCCACTTTATCTAAAAAATCAATGGAAAATACCCTCGGGTGATGATTAACAACAAAAATGTGTGTGTGTGTGTATACATATATGGCTACCTACACTAACATTAGTATTAAGAAGAAAGGGTTCAGAAGTTTAGGAAGCAGTATTAGTGAAAAATAGCTGAAAGTCTGGTGAATATTATCCAGCTGATCATGAAATAGCTAGCTAAACATTACCTTAATGAATTTGCTAAGATGACATCTGATGAAACCCTGAGTGCTGAATAAATTTGTAGTGGTGATGAAATAGTTGCGTGTTTGTTTTACATTCCTAAAAGACTTTAGACTGCAGGAGAAATACCAGTGCTTCAGATACATAAAAGATAAAGTTGTCAATGATTAGAAGAAACCACCATCTAAACTGTTCAAATGAATCTCATAAAGTGAGCATATTTACGCAGAGAAATCTTCTGGCTGATTCAGTAACATGTATGCTGGTGGTACAAGCTCTAGGCAGGCAGGACTGGAAGGTAGCTGAAGATTTTAAGTGACTCCTACACAGCTCTTCAGTGCATTCTCCTCAGCTTTTTGTTAAAAATAATGATTTTTGCATTTACTTTCCACCAACTATGACTGAAATACAGACTTTTTACTAAGATGTGTTACACTCTGGGAAAAACAAGTGTTTGTACTACCTGCAGTAGTTAACAAAGACTTATGAATTAGCCTAAAAACGTATATACATAACATACAGACACAGACAATAGCGTGGTGATAACCAGAGGTAAAGGCGGCTGTGGGCAGAGGTGGGGGAAGCGGAGGGGGGGGGGGACTTTGCTGGGCATTGGGCACATGATGCAGGGGGCAGAAGATGTTTCATTGAGTTGTACACTTGAAACCTACATGGTTTTGCAAATCATAATATTTATTTGTGTCACCCCAGTAAATTGTATTTAAAAAAAAAAAAAAACTTCCTATGCCCCAGCTATTCCACTTCTGGGAATTTATTCGAAGAAACCCAAAACTAATTTAAAAGAATATATGCAACCCCTTTGTTCATTGTGGCGTTATTGTCAACAGCTGAGATTTGGAAGCGGTCCAAGTGACCATCAGTAGATGAGGTAAAAAAAAACAGCTGTGGTACATTTGCACAATAGAATACTACTTGGCCATAAAAAAGAAGGAAATTTTACCCTTTGCGACAGCATGGATGGACCTAGAGAACATTATGCTAAGTGAAATAAACCAGTTAGAGAAAGACAGATACCATATCATGTCACTCATATGTGGAATCTAATGAACTAATCAGCAAAATAGAAACATTCAAAAATAGAGAGCAGGCTGACAGCTATTATGGGAGTAGGAGTAGGCTGGGGGAATGGAGAGATTGAACAAAAAGGAACAAAAGAGAACTTACAAGATTGTAGGGGTTGGGGGATGGGAGAGGGAGAGGGAGAGAAGGGTGTGGAGGGATAAATGTTCATGGACAGAGACTTGACTTGGGGTGGTGAACACACAGTGCAGTGGATAGATGATGTACTGTAGATTTGTGCAAAACCTGTATAATTGTGTTAAGCAGTGTCACCCCAATAGATTTAATAAAAAGGAAAAAAATTCTAGTTGAAAAAAAAAAAGTGCAGTCGTAACAATCTTTTTTTTTTTCAAAATTGCTAATGCTTGAAATGATGTTGATAAGTCGGCATTAGTAAATGCTGTACATTGTAGCTGACAATGAGGTTTGAAAATGAACCTGCAGAGAAAGATTTTGCAACATTTTATATCCAGTGAGATGATGATACCTGATTTCATTAAGTACATCATCTATTTTAACAGCCAAAACCATAAGTAAGGAGACTCTGATGCTGAAGAAATGCTGAATATTAATCACGATGCTTCTGTTGTGCATTTGGGTGACGGGGAAACGGCTGAAAGGTTGTTGAACACACTCAAGCATGAGTGTAGTCATGACTACGAGAATGATGATGACAATGGCTACGTTGTGAATGCAAGTGGAAAAATTCCCGAAGGCATTATGGGGGACAGTTAAACAGCAGTTGCTTGGGCTGAGACATGTTAAGGGATGACGTTGGCAGGAATCGTAGAAGGCATCCTGCATAGCGCTGCTGTGTCGCCTGGGAGCCTGATCCTCCCCATCCTCGTTGTCACAGCCCAACCTCGTGGACCCTTCTCTGTGAGGCCTCAGCCAGGTTCAGTGAGTGCCTTACGTGTATGCACGCACAGTTACTTAACTCGGCTATGTATTTGAAAATTTACTGGGTATTTTCCTTTAAAAATAGGGGTAATAAAGTACTGTTTCAGTCTATACTAATTCTCTTTTTATTAGTTTATTACTACATATATAATTATTACATAAATTATTACCATACAAATGAGTTGTAAAACTGTTTACAGTGTATTTTCTTTGAGGGTGAACATTTATACATTTTTATAAACAAATATTTGTGTTTACTAGCAAGGAGATGTTTGACCTCTGAAAAATCCATCCAGAAATTGTGAATTGTAAAATACATCTGAAACCAAATGTTTTGTGAAAAATGGCAGACCTGTACTGTACGGGAGGAGGTGATGACTTCCAGAGTAGCAGGCTGAGAACCTCTGAAAATCTGCTTTTATAAAGGCTGCAAAATACTGACAGAACTTGTCAAGATCAACTTTTGTAGAACTCTAGAAATTAAAGATGGACAATAATCCTGTGAAGGTTTATTCTAGAAAAGGGCTGAAACGCAGTGAAACCGAAAGCTCTGTGGCATGCCAGCTCCTTACTCCATCCCGCTGCCCGGCCGCCTCGGAGCCGCGGGACCGCAGCGCCGCGTGGGGGGCGGACAGCTTTGCAGGTCCCCGCAAAGCCCAACCGAACCGCCGCTGTTTGACCTCTGGCAGTTCTCTGAAAAACTTTAGTTTCAAGGTTCTTCTTTATTTGACCTGACTTAGAGTTTGTTAGCTGTGAATGATCCTATCCCTAGGATTTTTGTCAAGACAATCAGAGGTGACTGCTTGGCATCGTAGTTTTAGGACAAAATGTTGACAGTTGGCACCAAGAAGAGCCAGACCAAAGAACGTAATAGGAAGCTCTGGGGCATGTCCATAGGAGGCTTTGGAAAGCTCTTCATTTTATCGGGAATCAGAGTGGTTTCCACGGGAAGTGCTGTGCACCTACCACGAACGTGGGAGAAGGCCCCCGTCTCATTCGCGCGACCTTGCCGGTCTGTGCCAGCAGGAAGGGAGTGCTCAGTCCCCGGCGCGACCTGCCCACGGAAGCGAAGAGAGCCCAACACGCCGCGTCTGACAGAAGGCTGGGAGACGTACTGGTCTGAGGCATGTAAGGAAATCTGTCCAGTCGCTGCTGGCCAGAGACTTCAGGAGCTGCACACAGCAAAGAACAGTGGTGTCGAACAAGTAGTCTGGGAAAGCCACTTAAATAAAGAGCAACAGCGTGAATCCCTCGGGGTGGCCCACGGGGAGTCTGTTTCCAGAGCTGCCACACTGTGCTATTTAAAATATCCATTTTCCACAAGAAATTATGAGACACACAAAGGAACAGTGAATATGGCCTATACATGCACAAAAAGCATCAATCAGAACTATCTCTTAAGAAAATCTAGATTTACTGGGCAGACCTTAAAATCAGCTACTCTAAATATGTTTAAGGAACACCATCTAAATAACTCAAAGAAAGTATGAGGACAATATCCCACCAAGTAGAAGCTATTGATAAAGTGACTGAATTTATTTTTTAAAGAAGAGACCCAAATAAAAATCTGTAATACATTCAACAATCAGGATAAGTTTTTTTAAAAAAAGAATGAAGGCATAGATCAAAAGTGATCTGGAGTCAGTGGTCAGTCCACACATGCTGACCATAATGTAGCTGAACTATATAACAGCATTATCCATGTAGAATAGGCTTGATTATTTCCTGAGCTGACAACTTTTACCTTTAACTAGGCATCTTAGACTTTGTGGGCCATCCTGTCTTGGCTGCAATGACAGCCCTCTCTAGAGAAACAGCCATAGACAATATGTAAACATCTTGGCATAGCTGTATTCCAATAAAGCTTTTGTTTTTTTACAGAAAGAGGCCCTGGGTTTGGATCGTGCGCCCATTTCCCAGCCCCTGACCTAGAGTATTGCTTAGTGGAGAGAGGAATAAATATATTCTCCTTTTCTTGTCATAAGAACAGGAAGTTCCTGACTTCTATGCTTGTGGTGGCAACATAGATACCTTTTAGGAAATTAACCTCAAGTTTCAGTGCTGAAGCAAAAATCTGAAATAAGCGTTTTGTTTAGGAGAGAAGCTGCTGGCACCTGGTGTCGCTGGAAGAGGACACCATTTGCCTGAGTGCCTGGTGCCTTGCGTTCCACACCGTGGACTTGCCCTGTCGCCCGGGGACACAGCAAAGAACAGGAGTGTGGGGTCAGATGCGGACTCAGGCCGGGATCAGCTAGAGCTAGACCGTAGAGAAAAACCTGCTGCTCTCAGCTGCTCTGAGCCTCGGTGCCCCATGTGTAGTATGAAGAGATTGGACTGGAGAGGATATTTGGATCCCTCCTGGCTCTAAAGATGGCATTTAGGGGGTTCTGGTAGGAGCAGACTTGTACTACGCACAGATTTTTTTTTTTAAATCCTCACCTAAGGATCTTTTCCCATTTATCTTCGGGGGGGGGGGGGACATCCACTTGAGAGAGACACATTGATTGGTTGCCTCCCACACGACGCTGACCTGGGCCGGCCACTGAACTGCATCCGAGGTACTGCCCTTGACCAGAATCGAACCCGGACCTCTTTGGTTCATGGACCAATGCGCTAACCGCTGCTCAGAGCAATCCGGTCAGGGCTTCACGTGCTTTTTAAAGCTTCACATGCTTTTTAAAGCAGGAACTTCGTGTATAGTTTTCTGAAAAATGTTGCTTTGAGAAATGTCAGCATGGTAAATAGTTGTCGCCCACGTTTATCCTTCAGGTGCTGAGATGGATCTGGTACTCAGTGCTGCGGACTATTATGTTTTTACTCCATACGTATATCCAGCCACATGGCCAGAGGATGACTTCTTTCGACAAACTATTAGTCTCCTGATCATAACAAATCTCGGTGCTTATATCCTTTACTTCGTATTTGCAACACTGAGCTATTATTTTGTCTTTGATCATTCATTGATGAAGCATCCACAGTTTTTAAAGGTAAGTGATTTTCTTATCTACTTTTAATTACTGTTACACTAAAAATAACAACACAATGAATTTGTGAGCTATTCAGGTGAAATTGGTTATAAGCATTAAGTAAAGTTTTTGAAACCAGCCCCAAATGGGTTATATCTTTTATGTAGGGCTAATCCCACCCCTCCTTCCTTAATTTAAACAAATAATGAAACCAAGTTTGAGAATTTAAAATTAATTGTTTTGCCTGGCCGGTGTGGCTCAGTGGTTGAGTGTTAGTTAACCCATGCACCAAGAGGTCGCTGGTTCAATTCTTGGTCAGAGCACATGCCCAGGTTGCAGCCCCCCAATGGGCTTGCAGGAGGCAGCCAATCGATGTTCTCCATGTCTCTCTCCCTCTTTTCCCCCTCTCGAAAAATCAGTAAATTTTTTTTTAATGTTTATTGTTTTTGCTCTGTACAAAAAGAATTCTTTTTTACACACCCATTCCCACGTATTAACATTTTAATAGAAACGTTTTGGAAGTAAGCTTGTTCATATAAAGAAGAGTGTAAAAATCCAATCCAAAACAACTTTGTTAGTTTTGCTTAATAGACAGTTTGTGATTTTTTAAGTATTGGCAATTTCATTTCCAGAATCAAGTCTATCGAGAGATTATGTTCACGGTGCGGTCGTTGCCGTGGATAAGCATCCCCACGGTCTCACTGTTCCTGCTGGAGCTGCGGGGTTACAGCAAACTGTATTCGGACGCGGGCGGCTTTCAGCACGGTGAGTGGAGAACAGTGTCCGGCACGGCTGGTTTCCCAGGAACCGGATCTGCCTCTCCTTCCTTTTAAAATAATTGCCGCTTGCTCCGTTGTTTTCAGTATTTGTTAGTATTCTTTTCTTTGATGCATTTATGTCTTGTCACATACAACACCTACTTAAGTTCAATTTCAAGTCTTCGTTTGAGATGAAATTGTGCCTGAGTGGAGATTGGCCTGATCAGACATGAGCCATTGCATTGCTTTCTATTAACTGTATTGAATTTTTTAAAACTAAAAATTCTATACAAATGAATAACTCCAATAGTACATGACAATTGTGGAAAATCAGAAAATAGAGGGGTTAAAATATCAATTCTCTTTCTACCTAGAAGCTGTAAATCTTGTGGTTTATATCTTCACACTTTCTATGCCTTATATGCTTAAAATATATACATTACAAAAATGAACTTGACTATGCATACTGGTTTGTACTGTTTTTTCTGTTAGCATAGATATGCCCATATTTATTTATTTTTTTAATCCTCAACCGAGGACATTTTTTCCATTTTTTGTTCAGATAGAGCGGGAGGGAGAGAGAGAGAGAGAGAGAGAGAGCGAAACATCGACGTGAAGGGACACATCGAGTGGCTGCCACCCGCACGACCAACCAGGGCCGGGGACAAACTGCAACCGAGGTACATGCCCTTAGCGGGAACCGAACCCGGGTCTCTCTGTACCGCAGGCCGACGCTCCAACCGCTGAGCCAAACCTGCCAGGGCATGCCCATATTTTTATGTCTATAACTATTGGCATTATATAGTACGTTAGTTATAGTATCTCATTTTATAGATATCCATAGTTTATTTAAATGCGCTCTAATTTTTAGACTTAGATTGTTTGTTTTCTGTCCATTATAAACAGTCTTGCTTTAACTAAATTAACTTTTTGTGGAATTCAAGGTACATTCTAGTGTCCAGTATTCTAACGTAAGAGTAATAGCTAACATTTACCAAGTGTTAATAGGCACCAGCTACAGTTTGAAGCTTTCACATGTATGTCTTCATTTTATTCTACATCAGCTCTATGAGGCAGGTTCTGTTATTATGCTACTTTGTATGTGAGTAAGTTAAGTTCACAGAGAATTTCAGTAACTTGCCCAATTTCCTCAACAAATAATTGGTGGGTCTGCACCAGTACCCTGCTTTCTAAGTAAGAGGTCAGTGAGTTAAAGGAGGGGACAGAAATCACACACCAAGGTGACTTGACCAGGCTTTGAAAAGGGGTGGATGATGAGCAAAAACAGAAGGAGGAAGGCTTCGGATACATGGGACAGCATGACTGGAGGGCAGAGGGGAGCCTTCCAGGACACGGGGAGGACATCAGTGCCAGCCTGGGCAGCGCGGGCGCAGGCGAGGCTGGGAGGGTCAGAAAGGGGTAGGTTGCGGAGGAACTGCTCAGTTTAAGGTAGTTCGTGGAAAATAAAAGTCTAAGCAGGGAGATAATATACAGATATGTTTATGAAGGAAAATTATTAAATATAATTATTTTCACATTTAAATAATAACAGTGCTTCGGGAATACCTTTTTTCTGTCTCATAAATAGCTTAATAGTATATTCTTAAGAAATATTTTAGCCCTGGTCAGTTTGGCTCAGCAGTTACAGAATTGACCCGCAAACCGATTGGTCTCAGGTTCAATTCCTGGTCAAGGGCACGTACCTGGGTTGCAGGCTCACACCACAGCCCCAGTCTGGGTGGTGCAGGAGGCAACCAATCGGATATGCCTCTCTCACATCGCTATTTCTCCCTTTCGCCCTATCTACAAATGAGTGGAAGGATTAACAGACACACAGAAATATTTCAGGTGGGGCACTTCCAGGTTTTTATACGAGGGAAAGGAGGAAATGAGCAGATTCCAGAGAGTCAAGGGAGATTAATGTATAATGTGTTTCATTGGCCAAAACAGCTGGTCTGTAGTGTTGAGCGAAGGACCGTGTTTTGCGGTAGACATACGCAAGAGAAGGGCTGATCCTGAAGCCGAATCTCGATTCTGCTTCACACTGTTCTCGCTCCCAGGCTGGCTGCAGCTCGTCGTCAGTGTGCTGTCCTTCCTCTTCTTCACTGACATGCTCATCTACTGGATTCACAGAGGCCTGCACCACAGGCTCATATATAAGGTAGTCATTTTTGTGGGGAAAAAACAGTATTGTATACAAATATATATATAAACTGAAACTCATGGACACAGACAACATTATGGTGGTTACCAGAAGGAAGGGGGTGGGCGGGTAGCAGAGGTAAAGGGGGCAAAACTATGGTGACAGAAGATGATTCGAGTGGTGGGCACACAGGGCAGTGTACAGATCATGCATCGTGGAAATGTACACTTGAAACTGATGCTATTAACCCGTGTCACCAAAAACATTCAATTAAAAAAAAAAGAAATCTTTTCAAGTGTGGTGGCACCACATAAGAAGATGCCAGGTTCAGCGGTTGGTGTGGCTGGTGGGAGGACTGTGTGCCTGACCTGGTTTGCTGTTTTGGTGAAGGACCACCAGCTCTCAAGACCCTTGCATAGAACATCAAGAATATTTGAGTTTCTCTCGCCTGGGTCAGTGCCACTGGACACTTACAGTCCAGACTGGCACCCTTCGGGCTAGACAAGACAGGATGGGGGTGAGTACTGAGGATGGAGTTATGGGGTTTCCTGCTTTTGTTCTCACTGAATTTTATTGCACAACTGAAAAGAGCTATAGATCCCACTGACATAGATCGAGGAACATGGAATTTTATTGACTCAGTGGTGATTTGCCACATTCCTTATTCTAACTAAAATCCTGCAGCAAATGTTGAAAGAGTTACCCTCAATATAGCAGTATTTTCAAAGTGTAGTCCCCAGGCTAGCTGTATCCGAACCACCTGGGTCCTTACTAAAAATTATTTCTGGCCCCCACTCCAGACTTATATATTGTAATCTTGGAGATAGGACTCAGGCATCTCATTTTTAACAAACTTCTCAGATGCTGCTCAGGCGCACTAAAGCCTGAGTCTGGAATATGGTTGGGGCATCAGGAGAGTAGGGTCACTGTGGTTCTGGTGGGAAACGCAGTGTGTGGCGTCCTGTAGTGTAATTTAAGGCAAGCTGGGTGTGATAAAAGAAAAAATATATACACTTCAGCAGTTCCTGATTATGAATTAATTCAGTTCTCTATTTCCAAGAATTTCCTATAACTAGATTAAATACCTAAGTAACCATAGTCGTGACAAATGCTAAGTATATTTTGTTCAGAGTTTTAGGAGTCTGAAGTGTTTGTGCTAAAATGTTACAGTTTGGGGTTGAAGAAGGAGGGCATTTTATAAACTGATTTGCTCATTGCAAAGGGAGTTTCTAGTTAAGTCATTTTCAGAGCCTGTGTGAAAAGCTGCTTGCAGGTGCATCAGTCATGCGGTGCTGACGGTGTCTCTTCTTCTGCAGCACGTGCACAAACCCCACCATGTCTGGAAGGTCCCTACCCCGTTCGCGAGCCATGCTTTCCACCCCGTGGACGGCTTCCTGCAGAGCCTGCCTTACCACATATACCCCTTTGTCTTCCCCTTACACAAGGTGGTCTATTTAGGTCTGTACATCTTAGTGAATATCTGGACAATTTCCATTCACGATGGTGATTTCCGTGTCCCCCGGATCTTAAGGCCATTTATTAATGGCTCAGCTCATCATACAGACCACCACATGTTCTTCGACTATAACTATGGACAGTATTTCACATTGTGGGATCGAATCGGAGGCTCATTCAAGAATCCTTCCTCCTTTGAAGGGAAGGGACCACTCAGCTACGTGAAGAAGATGGAAGAGCAGAAGTGGAGCAGCCACGTGGGGAACGGGTGCGGAAGTGAGAGAGGAGCCACTGGGGAGGCTGCAAAGACTGAATAGAGTATTGTCCAGTTAAATATTTTCAATAAGAAAAACTGTAGTCAGGAGACATAGCAAGTAGATGGCATCATTTGAAAGTCAGCATTGTGGTGCTGCTGCGGAAGGACCGCGATGGAGGATCAGGGAGGGCGCTGTGCACAGCCGATTCCAGCCTCATGCTTGACGTGCTAGATGGTGGGCTAGGATCCCGCACAGCTGTAATTTGTGTAGTCTCAGCACCATTTCTAAAAGATAGAAAATAAATTATTGAGGGGACTAGGTCATGTCTTTTTGCCTTCATCTATCATACTCATTAAGAAAACACCATTGTGCTTAATAACACGGACTAAGCACCGTAACAAAGAAGTACTGAGGTAGAGATGGTTCCTTGTTTCAGGGACGGTCGCATCTTTGGTTTTAGCGTGATTTGTTCAAGTGCAAACATCAGGTGGAAAAATACACCAATGTAACATCTTAGTGGCTTTGTAGATGACCTAGTTAATAGCAGTGTAATTAGAGTATCACTTTCTACATGTAGGAAGTTTATTCTCTGGGGACATTGTCAAATACTACATTTTATTGATGAATAAATTGGAATTTAAAAAAATTTTTGATACTACCATGATTTAATCCAGATCTGGGATTATTTAAAGATTTTGATGCTTATTATTCAAAACTGTATTTTAATAAGTGTAAAAATCTGTGAATCTGAATATGCAGTATTTCCCCTTCGCCATGGGGCACACATTCCAGACCCGGTAGTGCAGATCTTTCCAAACCATGCATATGTATATATACTGTATTTTTTTCTATACATACAAAGCTATGATAAAATTTAATTTATAAACTAGGCACAGATTAACAACAATAACTGATAAAGTAGTTACAAAGGAAATTTGATGTCCAAATAATATATTGCAACACTACTAATTTTTAAATTACATTTAAGCACTGCACTTTTTATTGTTCAATGTATTTGGAAGAAAATGAAATGTTATATATCCCTTTTATGGAAAAACTACATGGAGGCTATTCAACATAAAATATGACATTTTTCATGTGATTTATAGAAAAGTAACAAGATCTTCAGTTAGAATTTTCTAATTTCTAACACAACCCAGAAACTATGTCAAAAATCATAATGACAGAATTGGTTCAGCTTTGAAATATGAATGGCAGTCATGCTGGATTGATTTTACAAAATAAAATATCCAACGGAACTATTCATTTTGGCTGGATGTACTGCATTTTTGATGTTTCAACATTGTAATTTCTATAATCAGGAATAATTGCCAAATATTTAGGCCTAACACTGAAGATTAGTTTGAAATCTTGTTCTCCCTCTTCTCCCCTCACTTTTTCCCATTTCCTCTGCAAAAAAGATTGAATTAATAGTCTCATAAATGTGTATTGTAACATAAATATATTGGAAAAACATGGTTTGTAAAGGCTATTTATTTAAAATTGATAAAAGTTTATGACTATTAAGCTGTATCACAAATATTGTAATAGCACAGAGTATTCTTTGTACAAATTTTATATTGATTTCAAACCGTAGAGATGATGTTGATTGTCAAAACTGTTGTAGACTGTCCCCAGATGCTCATTGTCAAGGAGAGAAAGAGTTTATCTCGTTCTTTTTATGCTTCACATTTTTATTAGATTTTACTGTTTTAGCGCTCAATTTTATGAGACTAGTTATAAAATTTAATGCTTGGGATCCAGGTGGATTTTTTTCCTCTTTGAGTTGCTGTTACAATGTTTGTTTTACTTAAATACACCAGTGTTCTAACTAGTAAATGCATCCTAGTACTCTCCACTAACTACCCCACCCACTTTGCCCAAGAAAAAGAAGGGAAGTTAAAAGTGGATTTTGTTTTCTGATGATAATGAGAGCTAATATTTATCGAGCATTTACCCTTGATCAGACATTGTCACAAATACTTGCCACAGGAGACTGGGACCCGGCTGCGTGCATTTCCAAGGTCATTTCTCTCTGGCAGGTTCCGTGCGCTTGCTGCTGGTCAGCGCGCAGCGTCCGGTTGTCCTGAGTCCCGCGCTCCTTCGTCCTGTCCTGGCAGGTGCCGTCCCCTCAGCCTGCAGCCTTTCCTGGAGGAGCACGTGAGGGGAGAGGGAAACGTATGCATAGAAAATGTCCGGGTCAGACCTGGAAGTCAGGCATGTCCCTTGCGTATGTTCCGTGGACAAAAGTGCGAAGGGGCCCGTCTAACTGAAAGGAATTCAGGGAATGGGGTAATCATTTTCTTGACCAGTTAGCCAGTTTGCCATACTCATCTAATGTATTCTTTTTGAGGGTTCCAATAAAGGTATTGAAGGGCTAAATGCACCCAAAATTATATCAAGTTATTCTTGAACTAGTCTTCTCATCCTTAATTCTGTAACTCTAATTGTAATGTTAAAGTTTCCTCTATGTTACTGTGTAGCTAATAGAAAAGAAAGGGCATAATTTATGGAGAGAAAGAAGCTTCCTCAAAGGTAATCAAACTAGTCTCTGCCCTCCCTTTTTTTTAATCCATACCCAAGTATATCCTTTTACTGATTTCTACAGAGTGGAAGAGGGAGAAAGAGAGAGAGGGAAACATCACTCGGTTGCCTCCCACATGTGCCCTGACCAGGAATCGATTGCACGGCCTTTTTGGTGTATGGGAAGACATGCCAACCAAAGGAGCCACCCAGCCGGGGCCGCCCTTTTTCTTTGAGTCTGGCCCTATTGAGCATGTCCTGGAAGGCAGTCCTGACCTTGTCCTCCACCAAAGGAAGTCAGAGAAGAGTCACTGAAGTGAGGGTCTAAATTTCCTTCCATGGTAATATCAAGTGAAAGACTTCCCCTTGACTTTGAAACCTTTTCTACTTATAGGACAGGAAGGGAAAGTCAAGATATTTTCCATGATTATGTTAGAAATTGGAAAATGGGTTGAGGTGGTACAGAACCCAGAAACCTTAGTGAATCTCATCTTCCTGCCTGTCTCCCTGTCTCCCTGTCTCCCTGTCTTCCTGTGTCGGGATGCTCTGCCTCCTTCTCATCACCCTGCATCATGTTTCTTTGCATCTTCAGGGAGTCGGGGACAGATTTGGGAGAGAATTCTATGTTCAGTTTTTGTTACATGGAGTTTACTGTGCAGGCTGATTATTTACATAGAGATGATGTCAAGGAGGAAGATGGAAACTAGGGAGACAAATCAGAACGAATATATTTGGGATTAACGCCTGGAAGAGAAGTTTAAGATCATGAGATCAATTGCCAAGGAGTACATGAAAAAATGTCCAAAGAAATAAACCGACATAAGGGGTCAAGAATTTCCTTTCCTTGTTTTTCCTAACTTCAAATTGAAAACACTTGATAGGCAGTCTTATGTCAGTATGTACTACTTTCTGTCATCTATCCTTGTTTTGGGTGCTATTTATCCTATACCCCAAATTCCTTCTAAGTAGGAACCATGTGTGAATCATGCTGCATTAAACCATGTGTCTTCCAGGGTGCCCAAGACATGGATGAGGGTCAGGAAATACTGATGAATTAATGAAATGCCATTCTCCTCTGTAAATATTTAATGAACCCCTTTGTCAAACACTGAACTAAGTGCAAATATTTAACCCCAGCCTCTTAAACACTGTCTTTTTAGCCAACAATTTGTTTCCCATTGATTCATTAGCTGGCATTGCTGTGTGCCTGGGAGGGTCACAGGGGAGCTCCAGGATCTTGAGAAGATGGTCCCTATGTCAGGAATAGACTACCTTCATTTCCTTACTCAAAAATCACACCTCCCTCCGGAAACAACCCATCAAGGACCCTGGATTCAGACCATGTATGAATCAGTAATACGAGTACTGATTAGAGAGGTGAATGAATGTGTGGAGTTCCTATGTAAAATAATACTCTGGGTTAAAACCATTCCTCACATGACTGATTGCTTATACCCAGAAACTACAAGCCTGAGGACGATGTGCAACTTCGGCGCCTGTCATTCATCTCAGGAGCTGCAGAAGCTCAGAGCTTTGCAGTCAAACAGTTTGAATCCTGGCTCTGCCACTTGGCAGATGGCACGACCTTGGTTTCTCCATCTGTACATTGAAAATACTACCTACCTCAAGATTAAGTAAATTAGAAAAAAATGTGGTCGTAGGCTCTTATGTAAACTGTGCTTAACGTCTCTAGGTTAATGATTATTACTAAGCCCAGGGTGTGCCCTGAGTAGAAATCTACTGATTGATTGCGGGGCGAAGGCCTAGAAAGGGTCCGAGAGGCTGCACCTCCTCCAGTGCCGCACTGCAGTCACAGCTGAGTTAGCGCGGTCAGCCCGCTGGACAGCTGGACAAGAGTATGACAGCCACGATTCCCAGAAGCTACGCAGAGACTGATAAGGAAGGGGAGCCCGAGAGGGCTGACTCCTGCACCCAGGTGCAGTGACTGAGAAACGGCTGCAGAAGTCCTCCCTGAGCCTGGGGGTCTCAACCCAGAACCCCACCCCAATGCACCAGGGCCAAAGAGGAGCCTGGGTACTGCTGACAGTGGAAATCGGTGGGGACTGTCCCCTGGAAAGAGGGGGTCTGCTAGAATCCCAGGTGCTCTCCTAAAGGCCCATGCACGGGAGCGTTCCCTTGGGCACTCACCTGGGGCTCTGGTAGTGGGAAGGCGACTCAGCATGTGGAAGCCATAAAGGATGGCTCTGGAGAGAGGTCTGGAGGGTTGGCTACAGGTCCCAGTCCTGAGTCAGCATCCCACACCGCCTGCGGGCACCATCCCCCACACGCAGGCCCAGGGTGAGCCATTCTTCCAGCACCACCTGGGGGAGCACACTAACCTGGTCCTGCAAATACTGGGGACGCCCCCCCGCCGAGCTCAAGTCCGCTGCAACAACTGTTGGCTGCTCCCAACAGGGTCCTGAGGTGCGATCTTTTCCTGCAGAAACTAGAGGCAGACTCTCAGGTGGTCATTGAACTGTGTGGCTTTGGAATGGTGGCGAATCTTCCCCTCCCACGGGTTCCGCAGGGGCCACCCCAATGGAGACTCCTTTGTTGGGGTCTCAGGCGGCATAGCTGCAGAGCCAAGGGGAGGAGGGCAGCTTGTTCCCCTCTGCTGACCTGGGTCACCCCCTTGATTTGTTTTGTCATTCCTGCTGGCCCTGTCGTTCGAGGCTCAGTTCAGCGGGGGGAAGGTGGCTGGTTCCGAGGTAGCATATCCCTTCGAAGTACACCTCCTGCAGTTTCCAGGTAGGGGCTCGTGAGGATACAGAGCTGAGGGGAGGAGTGCAGCTCGCCCCCGGGGCAGTCCAGCCGCTGCCACCCCAGCGGAGGGCTTTCTTGATCTGTTTGCCCAAGGCCCGGTGACCTCACCCTGCCAAGCTTACCTCTGCAGTGGGAACAGCTGGCTATACCCAACCTGAACCTGTGGCTCGCTCCTCCTGGGGGAGCTAGAGTTGGCTCTGAAATAGGGGTCCCATTCTCCCCATTGAGTCCCTGGCCACGCTGCCCCCAAGTAGAGGATTCACTAGTCCTGTCTTCCCAATCCACTGGCCCCACCCTACTGAGCTTGAGCCCTGCGGAAGGGTTAGTGGGCATGGCCAGTTCAGGCCCACTACGGCCTTTCTTCATCAGACTGGAGGAAGGCCAGGCAACCTTAGGGGCCTTGGAATAGCTGACAGGACGTGGCCAACCCCAGGGAGCCTTGGACTTTTAATAATCTGCTCCCAGCTTGGAGCTTCAGGAAGCCAATCCTGGTACACAGCCTGACCTACTCCCCTCCCCCCACCCCCCAACACACACACACAGGCCCAGTAGACACAGCAACGAACAGTGAATAGGTGGTAGCACCAGATGGGTAGCCCAAGACTGGCTACACGCAACATCTGACATCTAACTGCACTGGAGCCCAGGCCAAGGAGACCCCAAAACCAGCACAACCAGTGGTGGGTTTCATACCACCAGAGCTCAACCAAACTAGCCACACAAATGGCTCGGACAAGAGCAGGCTCCAGCAGACACCAGACCCTGCTGGGAACAACTCTGCCTCGTACATGGTGAATGAGGCGTGTCCATAGAGTCGGCCAGCCCAAGGGTTAGCTCCACCCAGCGAGGGGCCACAAGTGTGGCAGCTGACAAGCCAGAGGGATGTTGGCTGCAAAATTAATTGATCAAATGCTCCTAAACATTTAACATTATTTACATATTTAATTCTATTTTCTTAAACATTTGATAAGAAATTGAACGTATTTCATCCCCACAAAGGCAGATTTGTATACTCAACAGATTTTTCTTACCCTCCTTGGCAACTCATACTTAATATACTCGTACTTAAATATACTTAAACATTATAGCATAATGATATAAAAAATTAGTCACTCAACATGACAGTATTCATACTATAAACTGTTATTTACTTCTCATATTCTTTTGTTATGCTTTCTTCTATTTTAAGATTATAATTCCACTAACCGTGCCATTTACTCGATAAAAACTTGGCTCCTGACATGTGCCCCCAAACAAAGAAATAGGAACCTAGGGAGTTAGTGCACATTTGATTACTTGACAGCAATTGTTGTAGTGACTTTTATCTGCCCCTTTACTAGGATTTTTCTTTTAATCAACGTAATGAGGGCCTAATAATTCACATATAATATATCCATTCTAACTGTGCAGGACAATGAATTTTTGCAAATGTGTACACCATGTAACCACCAGCCCAATCAAGGTACAGGACATTTTTTTCACCAGAAAGTTTTTTCTAATCTCCCTTTGCAGTCTTCCCCAGCCCTAGGTCACCACTGAGCACTTTTTGTCATCGGAGATTAATATTGCCTATTGTAGAATTTCATGTGAATTTAACCAGGTGATATGTACTCGTGTTTAGTTTCTTTAGTTTACCATGTCTTGAAATGCATTTGCGATGTTGCCGACAGTCATCCCTCGCAACTTTGCGCTTCTACTTTTGCAGCTTCACTCGGTCGCGGTTTTTTCAAATATATTTCAAATTAAAAAGTTGATCGAGACAGTGAAAATGATACAGTGCATGCTCGGTTGTCTGAGTCTATTGTACACCCCTGTATTACAATTAAAATGGAAA